CAACTCCTTGCAACAACAACATACCTTCTAAGTCAACAACAACAGGCTTTCCTCCAGCATAGGAGCTGATGTATGGCGCCCCAATCTGTGACAAGTGATGACTTATTATGGTCAATCAGTGTTACCAGAACACTGATGGTAGCTTGCCACAATCTACGAATAGATTTGAGGGCACACTAAATATTGCAGGAACGTGCGTGCGCGCACATTCGTCCTCTCATATATACACACACGAACCATTAAACTACAGATCATTTATGATGGAAGGAATAGATTCAGAAGTGTCCCTGTTTATAGATATGAAGTTGATGAGAATTCAATCGGACGAGGACCAGGCAGAACTACGAAGGGTTCTGGACAGGCTGCAGGCCTGGCCCAGAAACTGGCTCCTGGAGTTCAACCCCACCAAATGCAAAGTCATGAAGATTGGGAAAGGGCAAAGAAGACCGCAGACAGAGTACAGGTCTAGGGGGGCCAGAGACTACAAACCTCACTCAAGAATCTTGGGGTGAGTATAACACTGGGCACATCTCCTGAGGCACACATCAACCAAATAACTGCTGCAGCATACGAGCACCTGGCAAACCAAGAATAGCACTCTGACATCTAAATAAGAAATCGTTCAAGACCCTGTACACCGTGTACGTTAGGCCTATATTGGAGTATGCAGCATCAGTTTGGAACCCTTCCTAGCCAAGCACATAAGGAAATTAGAGAAAGTGCAAAAGTTTGCAACAATACTAGTTTCAGAGCTAAGGGGCATGTCCTGCGAGGAGAGGTTAAGGGAAATCGACCTGACGACACTGGAGGACAGGAGAGGTAGGTGGGGATATGATAACGACATATAAAATACTGAGAGGAATAGACAAGGTGGACAGAGACAGGTGTTCCAGAGATAGGACACAGTAACAAGGGGTCACGGTTGGAAGTTGACGACTCAGATGAATCACAGGGATGCTAGGAAGTATTTCTTCAATCACAGAGTTATCAGGAAGTGGAACAGTCTGGGAAGTGATGTAGTGGAGTCAGGATCCATACATTGCTTTAAGAAGAGGTATGATAAGCTCATGGAGTAGGAAGAGTGACCTAGTTGCGACCAGTGAAGAGGCGGGGCCAGGAGCTGACTCGGCACCTGCAACCACAACTAGGTAAGTACAACTAGTTGAGTACACACGCATGCACGGTTACAACACACAAAAGGAGGAGAGTTCACAAGGAATGACCAGTATGTGAAGAGCTTAGCACTAGATGTAGGGAGGTATTTTCAGAGACAGGAAGGCTTCCAGGAAACCGAGCGGTAAAGTGCACTGGCAAGTGATGGACACAATGCACACAACCAGGGTGGAGGTGAAGAAACTGGTATGCGAGATACCTCGAAGGTGTGGGACCAGATAATATGTGTGGTACCTGAGAGAGGGAGCAGAGGCAGTGTGTGTGCCGCTAGCAACAGTCTTCAAGTCTATCAAACCAAGACAATTGCCAGAGGTGTGGAAGACAGTTTTTTAAGGAGACAGGCAGCATGAAACTACAGACCAGTGTCACTGACATGCATATACCTGGAGAGGGTTTCAGGGGTCAACGTCCTCGTGGCCTGGTATGTAAAGTCATAGAGAAGAATATAAGAATTGGTGAAGCACCTAGAAAGGGGTGGGTTCATGCCAGCACGGCTTCATGGATGGAAAATCCTGCGGCATAAACTTATTGAAATTCTACGACAAGGTAACAGATGACAGGAGAGAGAGAAAGAGAGAGAGAGCTCTTAGCTTGTTAATAAAGTTAGCAATCCTTAACTTGTAAATAGCTTGTCAATAAAGTTAGGGATCCTTAACCTAACCTTGTCAAACCCTGTGTAAAAAGAGAGATAGAGAGAGAGAGAGAGAGAGAGAGAGGGGAGAGAGAGAGAGAGAGAGGAGAGAGAGAGAGAGAGAGAGAGAGAGAGAGAGAGAGAGAGAGAGAGAGAGAGAGAGAGAGAGAGAGAGAGAGATCCACTTCGAGGACAGCGTGAAACAAGCTCTTATGCCACAAGACGGTCAGAAAGCATCAACTTCACTCTGGCTGTACCCTTCTCCAGAACATCACTCCATCTGAGATCATAAATCCCCAGGATGACTCGAGTATGGAACACATTCGTACAGTATAATGATGTCGAGATAAAGTCAGTTGATCACATGAAAATGTTGGCCCACAGATGGCTCCAACTTCATCCTGTTTCCTACTTGTATGTCTCATAACAATAAAAATGCTTTCAAATGAGCTGATGTAGGTAACAGCTCTTAGCTTGCCAATAAAGTTAGGAATCCTTAACCTGTAAATAGCTTGTCAATAAAGCTAGAGATCCTTAACCTTGTCAAACCCTGTGTAAAAGAGAGAGAGAGAGAGAGAGAGAGAGAGAGAGAGAGAGAGAGAGAGAGAGAGAGAGAGAAGAGAGAGAGAGAGAGAGAGAGAGAGAGAGAGAGAGAGAGAGAAGAGAGAGAGAGAGAGAGAGAGAGAGATGGGTAGATTGCATTTTCCTGGCCTGTAAGAAGGTTTTTGACACAGTACCACAGAAGACATAAGAAATCTAGAGGAGCAAGCAGGAATAACAGGAAAAACACTGCAGAGGATCAGGAAATACCTGATAGGAAGTGAACGAGTGATGATCTGTTACGAGGTGTCGGAATGAGTGCATGTGACAAAGGACAAAGAAGACTGCAAACGAGGTACAGGCGTGGGGGCAAAAGTCTGCAAACCTCACTCAAGAAGGATCTTAGGGTGAACATCACACCGAGTTTATCCCCGAAGCGCATCAACCTAATAACTGCTGCAGCAAATACGCGTCTGACAAATCTAAGAACAGCGTTTCGACATCTAAGGAGTCATTCATTACGCTGTACACCATACAGTACGTCAGGTCCACATTGGAGTACGCAGCACCAGTATGGAACCCACACCTGGCCAAGCACATCCTGTGGGCAGTAGTCAAAAGATTACAGAGACATAATGTGTTCAGGGACTGAACGCACGCACACACAATGTTATTAAAACACATACAAGCAGTATGGAACCTTTATTAACAGCTGATGGCTGTGGGTGGTGAACACCCTCTGCTAGGCTTTCAGAGTTGCCTACTTCCTATTATTTTATGAGGTTTTTAGTTAAATTTATATAATTTTATTATTTCATTCAAATATCAAAATAAAGAAATATTTTATCATGTATCCCCGAGGGAATATCTATAAGCGGATGTCGCTGTATAATCCTCCGGGTTTAGCGCTTCCCCCTTGATTATAATAATAATAATAATAATAATATAAGCGGATACCTGAATTTTTATTTCTTCTTCCAAGGTTTTCACTTATTTAAGAAGGCTTCATCCGATCGGTTTCAAACTTTCGACGATGCTGCACTATAAGTAAGACAAAGTTCAGGCAAATACTGGCACGTGCAGATACCCAATGATCAATTTTATATAATTCATTCCCAGATTTCATTTCCGTGCGATAATCTGAGAAAGCTTCTTCAGTTTGGCTTCAGACTTTCATCACTGTTGTATCCTATTGTGAGGAAGGTTGGGATTTTTACTGGAGTCTGTAGGTGCCATTTTGTCCATTTTATTTTGAAAACGGGTGTATTTTTGTTTCCCTGTGACATAATGTATGTATAATAGTCTTCAAGCTGGCACTGGACAAGCACCTAAAGTCGGTACCTAACCAGCCGGGCTGTGGCTCGTACGTTGGATTGCGTGCAGCGAGCAGTAACAGCCTGGTTGATCAGGCTCTGATCCACCAGGAGGCCTGGTCACAGACCGGGCCGCGGGGGCGTTGATCCCCGGAACTCTCTCCAGGTAAACTCCAGGTAATGAACGATTTCAATTTTTAATAGCTAATGCATAACATGTACAGGGTAAAACTGTAGGTTCAGCCTTTTGTGAAGCATACTTGCCTGTTTCCTAACATAAGATAAGATAAGATAAGATTTCGTTCGGATTTTTAACCCCGGAGGGTTAGCCACCCAGGATAACCCAAGAAAGTCAGTGCGTCATCGAGGACTGTCTAACTTATTTCCATTGGGGTCCTTAATCTTGTCCCCCAGGATGCGACCCACACCAGTCGACTAACACCCAGGTACCTATTTGCTGCTAGGTGAACAGGACAACAGGTGTAAGGAAACGTGTCAAATGTTTCCACCCGCCGGGAATCGAACCCGGGCCCTCCGTGTGTGAAGCGGGAGCTTTAGCCACCAGACCACCGGGCCACCTAATTAATAAGCTTTGAATCGCTGAGTCAAAGCAATAACTGAGAATGCCTTCTATACGAGTTACATTGAATAACCAGAGTGGCTACACTAGTCTATGCTACATTGTGGGTACACCTCCAGTGTGCAGTTACCTCTGCTGTATGAGTCACATGGTGGAACCGCAGGCTACGAGTTACACTTTAGGAACACCCGCAGTAAGTGGCTACGCTATTTTGTAACACTGTGGAAACACTCGCAGTGTACGGTTACTGTCTTCTATTTTATATTGTAGAAACATTCGTACTGTGTGGACACCGTATTCTATTGTTACATAGTGGGAACACCCGAAATGTGCGGCTACCTTATTCCATACAAGTTACATGGTGGGAACCCCTGCAATTTGAAGGCAACCTATTCTATATATAGTTACATGGTGGGAACACCCGTAGTTTGCAGCTGATCTATTCTATATAAATTACATGGTGGGAACATAAGGCAGCTATTTTTCACTGTCATATTCCATCACAAAGGATGAACTATATACAGTAATATATCAGCCCCAGCTGAGAGACGTCAGCCGGATGATGAAGACATTAAATATTCCACTATGGGTACAATAACTAAAGGGGGCTCTCAAAATTTCCATTCACTAGAGCTGGAGTTACTATTACACGGGTATTGTCATCTCTCAGGATGTCCCATCACAAACAAAATTTAGATTACTACTATTAAAAAATATAAATAATAATTAGATATATATAGGCAATGTAGAGCAAAATATTTTATCAATTATTACAGCATATTTCTATGTTCATTTCACACTCCGAAGCCTATCTTCCCACGTGTGCATTTTCATACATAGATATCAATTCACAGGATATATACACCAAAAGGTGTATTTCTTTCAGCGTATATTGTTGTATAGTCCTTGTGGCTTAGCGCTTCTTTTTGATTATAATAATAATAATAATAATTTCAGCGTATACATGCTGATAGTTACTTTAATCCTTATTTTAGATATTAAAGTATTCTTGTCTGGTGGTGAAACAGTTACCTGCAGCCTTAATGACTGTGGAAAATTCAGAATTTTCCTAATTTCAGCATGTGTAAATTTGAATTATATGATAATTGTGTATTAAATTGTGATGCTGATTTGACCCCTCGAGAAATTTCGAGTGGGGGGGGGGGACACCAGCTGGGGAGTGACGCCGCGGGAGGACATCATTTGTGATTTGCGAGTACTGGTTGTTGTGGAAAATTGTGTAATGTAATCAGGCATCACCGAAGTTCAGTTGGTGTATATTGGCCTCATTCAGTAATTTAAAAATTGCTGACACGTTCCTGCTGAAGAAGTGGGTTAAATAGTTTGGAAAACCCTAATATTTCGGCAACAAGGACGGAAAAATAGAGGACATCGATTTTTCCTAGAAACACACATTAGTTAAGTGATGCTTACCCATAACGTACACTAGTTATGCATTGACCTTCGCAAATTCTAGCTGTAGTGGTAGCGTTAGGATGTGTTTTAAAAAATAATAATTATGATCCAGTAATTAAATGGTAAGTGCTCATTATATAATATGCATAATTTTTTTTTTTTGTAAAATGTTGTGTACTCAACAGATCCCCTCCCCTTTCTTTTCAAGTGGCAAACCATCATACAGTCCACACAATATCTTGTAATTTACGAACATTATTGGTATTAATTTTATGTTATAATATTTGACAGGCCCGACTTTGTGGGTGGGAGAAAGAGTGTGGGTCTCCGAGAGGCATGGTGTAGCCTAGCGTCTGAAATCCCACCTGACTGAGGTACAACAATGGTAAGTACAATTAATTGTTGCTTATTGTGGCCCCCTCAAATTATGTGGATGAAATATTTCAGGAACGTACCTGTGAACCTCGTCCCCATAAATCTCACTGATCAGGTATCATTTTTTTTTTTGGCCGATCTGAAACTATTCAGTTTGGCTGAGCGGTCGCCCCATTCCTGCATGATCTTAACTCTACCAGTACTTAGCGACTTAAACTATTATAAAAGATGCACGTCTCCGCAAGTGATTCATTTTAATGTAAAGTCTTTATGTTTAATGTTCGAATAGAAACGCTTGAAGTCGATGACTTTTAAGACGTGGGCTGATAACACCAAAACTAATAGAAATTTTTAACACAAGGTCTTACAGACAATACATAAAAATAAGAAAACCAAGTTTTGCAGTAGGTTACTGGCTCATGCTGCAGGTGATGCTCACACAATCATTCCCACTTGCGTATTTGTCTAGCCTGTTTTTAAAGCTATATGAAGTGCTCTCATCAATAGCGCTACTTTGAGGTTTGTTCCACTCAAAACTGTGTTTTCTTACATTTCTAAATCAAAATTTATTCAACAAGACATCCTTCCTGTGAGCTCGGTCTTGGTTATATATTTTTAGTACTTTACAGAGAGTACTTCAGAGTCTGAGACTCACAGGCAACACCGATAATCATGCTGCAGTTTACTTTGAATTTTACGTATTATGTGTGATGTCGAATTTCAGATCACCTTAAATTCGAACCCTTGAGCTAGTATACTTTTAATCCCATATATCCCTGAGGACACGTTCACGTAGAAGGTAGAAGCTGTGCATGATGGCGGAACATCAACTTCACACTCAGGCATGGCTAAAGGCCCCAGTGATTCTACCGATATTACTTCCACGGTTGAAGACCTGGCCTCGGCGACCGCAGTTTCACGTCCAGGCATGGCTGAATGCTGAAGGTTCCATCGACTCCACCGGTGTTACTTCGACGTCAGAGGAGCGGGATTGGTTGGTGGCATTACGGCTGAGGAAACTGGTAATGAATGAGGCCTTGATTTGGTCACGGGTCACTTGTCCTCCCGCTTTAGAGACGGTCGAGCCACGACGTGAGAGATCCTGCATAGTCTGGAGCACCTTAATGTGACCTGTGGAAAGAAGTACCTAGTGAGACATAACACCAAAATGAGTACAACTTGGTAAGAACATTTAAGGGAGTACAGCAATAAGAGCGTCTGCACAAATAACTCATTACGCCAGTAACCAAATATAAGCATATAAATAATTCATTACTTTTGTAACTTGTTTACCAATCAAAACTTTCGGGCCAAGTTACTGGAGCCATTATGTTCCTGGAGTTTACCTGGAGAGAGTTCCGGGGGTCAACGCCCCCGCGGCCCGGTCTGTGACCAGGCCTCCTGGTGGATCAGAGCCTGATCAACCTGTGTAATCTTTTGACTACCGCCCACAAGATGGGTATGATGGGGGTGCATAATAAATATATTAAACTAAAACAGTGAGGACAACTATTTAAATATATATGGGGAGTACAAGGAATACAGGATTGCAGCAAGGAAGTACAAAAATACCTGCAGGGGAGTACAAGATTAGCACAAATAGGTGAGTACAAGAGTACCTCTAAGTGAGTACAACGAGGAGTACATACAAGGGTTATCGCCCTGGGGCCGGATGTCGCTGAAATCGTAGCCATTATGTTGCAGACCCAGCACGGAGACGGCCCTTGAAACCCCAATATTTCGACGGTATATGGCGTGTTCTGCGAAGTCTGCGCCCACCAGCTCCTCCCACTCAGTCATCCGGATAGGAGTAATCTTATTGATAACCTGAACCGGGGACACAGTACTTAAGAACATGTCTAATGTATATCCACAAGTATTACACAAGTGCCTTTTTGTGTTCTTTTGACTTTTCACAAAATAGGCATGGAATGATTACCGTCCATAGAATGGGAATGGGGTGATTACCGTCCATAGGATGGGAATGGGGTGATTACCGTCCATAGAATGGGAATGGGGTGATTACAGTACATAGGATAGGAATGGGGTGATTACCGTCCATAGAATGGGAATGGGGTGATTACAGTACATAGGATAGGAATGGGGTGATTACCGTCCATAGAATGGGAATGGGGTGATTACCTTCCATAGGATGGGAATGGGGTGATTACTGCCCGCAGGATGAACATGGGGTTCATAGTAAAGCTATCAAATAAAAAAAATCAGCGAAAATAAAACTACTGACTTTCTTTACCTTCACCACTATCTTACTTTATTTGTTTACAGTTAGAATATGGCCAAAATGTGATAATATTTATGACTTTTGTTACTTATCAGTGCTAAGGTTTGTTTAATTAGTTTAAATCCTAACGACTACATGAGCTTCATTAATTACCTGCACACCACCAGTCAAGAAAGTATAAACATCATTTAGGAGTGAAGAAGAGCTGGATGTGAGTGTGGAGGAGGTGCGTGAGGCATTACGTAGAATGAAAAGAGGTAAAACAACTGAAATTGATGAGATCGTGACAGAAATGTTAAAGGCAGGTGGGGATATAGTTTTGGAGTGGTTGGTACTTTTGTTCAATAAATGTATGAAAGAGGGAAAAGTACCTAGGGACTAGCAGAGCGCGTGCATAGTTCCTTTATATAAAGAGAAGGGAGACAAAAGTGTGTAAAAAATATAGAGGAATAAGCCTATTGAGTATACCAGGCACAGTGAATGGTAGAGTTATTACTGGAAGAAACAGAGGTAAAACAGAGAGCAGGATCACAGATGAACAAGGATGTTTTAAAATGGGTAGGAGATGTGTAGATCATATATATATGAACAGCATTTAGACAAAGGTAGGGAAGTTTTCGTTGCTTTTACGGATTTAGAAACAGTATGTGATAGGGTGGATAGGGGAGCAATGTGGCAGTTGACTGCAAGTGTATATTAGTTGCTAAATACTGTAAAGAGGATTTATGAGGATAGTGAGGCTCAGGTTAGTGTGCAAGAGGGGGAGATTACTTTCCAGATATACATCACGGTCTATATTATTAGATAACAAAAAAAGGCACAATACCGTGACTGGAACGATACACAAATAACCCACACATAAAAGAGAGAAGCTTACGACGACGTTTCGGTCCGACTTGGACCATTTACAAAATTACACTAACCAGAAGTGGAGCAGGACGGCTATATATAGGCAGGAAGAGGTGGTGGTATTAGTAGTAGTAGTACAAGAATGGTATATAATACCGACAAGATGAAATTAAGGCACATGCGCAACACCCGGGCATCCCTATCGTAGACGTTTCGCCATCCAGCCAGCCACTGGATGGCGAAACGTCCACAACAAAGACAACCAGACGCCGCACATGTGTCTTAATTTCATCAGTAGTAGTAGTAGTAGTGAAAGAGGTAGTAGTAGTGGTAGTGGTAGAAGTGGGGAATAAGGAGGACGAGCCAGTCAAATACAAAGGAAGGGGAGCACTGCAAGAGAGCTAGATGCCCACAGAGGGAGAGCAAGCGCACAGAGGTGCGTGAAAGGGAAAGTGGTGAAATAAATGAAGAAGAAACAGAAACACGAGAAGGAAGAGAGAAAGACAACCCAGAGGAGAAAAAGGAAAGAGGAAAGGGGAAGAGGGAGAAGAAGAAAAAGAAAAAGAAAAAAAATGAGGAATCAGGTTAGTCACAGGTGCTCTGAAGCTTGGGTTGTCTTTCTTCCTTCTCGTGTTTCTGTTCCTTCTTCATTTATTTCACCACTTCCCCTTTCACACACCTCTGTGCGCTTGCTCTCCCTCTGTGGGCACCTAGCTCTCTTGCAGTGCTCCCCTTCCTTTGTATTTGACTGGCTCGTCCTCCTTATTTCCCACTTCTACCACTACCACTACTACTACCTTTTTCACTACTACTACTGATGAAATTAAGACACATGTGTGGCATCTGGTTGTCTTTGTTGTGGACGTTTCGCCATCCAGTGGCTGCTGGATGGCGAAACATCTACGATAGGGATGCCCGGGTGTTGCACATGTGTCTTAATTTCATCTTGTCAGTATTATATACCATTCTTGTACTACTACTACTACTACTACCACCACCTCTTCCTGTCTATATATAGCCATCCTGCTCCACTTCTGGTTAGTGTGGCTTTGTAAATGGTCCAAGTCGGACCGAAGCATAGTCGTAAGCTTCTCTCTTTTATGTGCAGGTTATTTGTGTATATTGTTATTAGGGTTATAACTTTTTTACACCGTAAGATTCCTGTACCTTAATCAGATGAACTTTTGCCTAAAAGCAAAGAAATGACCTTTCATTTCAATAAGTTTTAAGAAAATGTCGCCACTAACTGAAAAAAAAACGAGTAACGAAAACAAGTAACATGAATGCATATTGCATGTAATATTATTAACAAATAAAACAGATATCATCATTGTTATCGTGTTTATACATATATTACTACTTATTGCCTAGATTACCTGGAGTTTACCTGGAGAGAGTTCCGGGGGTCAACGCCCCCGCGGCCCGGTCTGTGACCAGGCCTCCTGGTGGATCAGAGCCTGATCAACCAGGCTGTTGCTGCTGGCTGCACGCAAACCAACGTACGAGCCACAGCCCGGCTGATCCGGAACTGACTTTAGGTGCTTGTCCAGTGCCAGCTTGAAGACTGCCAGGGGTCTGTTGGTAATCCCCCTTATGTGTGCTGGGAGGTAGTTGAACAGTCTCGGGCCCCTGACACTTATTGTATGGTCTCTTAACGTGCTAGTGACACCCCTGCTTTTCATTGGGGGGATGGTGCATCGTCTGCCAAGTCTTTTGCTTTCGTAGTGAGTGATTTTCGTGTGCAAGTTCGGTACTAGTCCCTCTAGGATTTTCCAGGTGTATATAATCATGTATCTCTCCCTCCTGCGTTCCAGGGAATACAGGTTTAGGAACCTCAAGCGCTCCCAATAATTGAGGTGTTTTATCTCCGTTATGCGCGCCGTGAAAGTTCTCTGTACATTTTCTAGGTCGGCAATTTCACCTGCCTTGAAAGGTGCTGTTAGTGTGCAGCAATATTCCAGCCTAGATAGAACAAGTGACCTGAAGAGTGTCATCATGGCCTGGCCTCCCTATTTTGAAGGTTCTCATTATCCATCCTGTTATTTTTCTAGCAGATGCGATTGATACAATGTTATGGTCCTTGAAGGTGAGATCCTCCGACATGATCACTCCCAGGTCTTTGACGTTGGTGTTTCGCTCTATTTTGTGGCCAGAATTTGTTTTGTACTCTGATGAAGATTAATTTCCTCATGTTTACCATATCTGAGTAATTGAAATTTCTCATCGTTGAACTTCATATTGTTTTCTGCAGCCCACTGAAAGATTTGGTTGATGTCCGCCTGGAGCTTTGCAGTGTCTGCAATGGAAGACACTGTCATGCAGATTCGGGTGTCATCTGCAAAGGAAGACACGGTGCTGTGGCTGACATCCTTGTCTATGTCGGATATGAGGATGAGGAACAAGATGGGAGCGAGTACTGTGCCTTGTGGAACAGAGCTTTTCACCGTAGCTGCCTCGGACTTTACTCTGTTGACGACTACTCTCTGTGTTCTGTTAGTGAGGAAATTATAGATCCATCGACCGACTTTTCCTGTTATTCCTTTAGCACGCATTTTGTGCGCTATTACGCCATGGTCACACTTGTCGAAGGCTTTTGCGAAGTTTGGATGTATTACATCTGCATTCTTTTTGTCTTCTAGTGCATTTAGGACCTTGTCGTAGTGATCCAATAGTTGAGACAGACAGGAGCGACCTGTTCTAAACCCATGTTGCCCTGGGTTGTGTAACTGATGGGTTTCTAGATGGGTGGTGATCTTGCTTCTTAGGACCCTTTCAAAGATTGGGTTTCTAGATGGGTGGTGATCTTGCTTCTTAGGACCCTTTCAAAGATTTTTATGATATGGGATGTTAGTGCTATTGGTCTGTAGTTCTTTGCTGTTGCTTTACTGCCCCCTTTGTGGAGTGGGGCTATGTCTGTTGTTTTTAGTAACTGTGGGACGACCCCCGTGTCCATGCTCCCTCTCCATAGGATGGAAAAGGCTCGTGATAGGGGCTTCTTGCAGTTCTTGATGAACACAGAGTTCCATGAGTCTGGCCCTGGGGCAGAGTGCATGGGCATGTCATTTATCGCCTGTTCGAAGTCATTTGGGGTCAGGATAACATCGGATAGGCTTGTGTTAATCAAATTTTGTGGCTCATAAAAATTTCATTTTGATCTTCGACTCTCAGTCTGGTTAGCGGCTTGCTAAAAACTGAGTCATATTGGGACTTGAGTAGCTCACTCATTTCCTTGCTGTCATCTGTGTAGGACCCATCTTGTTTAAGTAGGGGCCCAATACTGGACGTTGTTCTCGATTTTGATTTGGCATAGGAGAAGAAATGCTTTGGGTTTCTTTCGATTTCATTTATGGCTTTTAGTTCTTCCCGCGATTCCTGACTCCTAAAGGATTCTTTTAGCTTAAGTTCGATGCTTGCTATTTCTCTGACCAGTGTCTCCCTACGCATTTCAGATATATTGACCTCTTTTAGCCGCTCTGTTATTCTTTTCCGTCGCCTGTAAAGGGAGCGCCTGTCTCTTTCTGTTTTACATCTACTCCTCCTTTTTCTTAGAGGAATAAGCCTTGTGCATACATCGAGTGCCACCGAGTTAATCTGTTCTAGGCATAAGTTGGGTTCTGTGTTGCTTAGTATATCTTCCCAGCTTATATCGGTTAGGACTTGGTTTACTTGGTCCCACTTTATGTTTTTGTTATTGAAGTTGAATTTGGTGAATGCTCCCTCGTGACTAATCTCATTATGTCGGTCTGGGGCTCCGCGCATACATGACTGAACCTCAATTATGTTGTGATCTGAGTATATTGTTTTTGATATGGTGACATTTCTTATCAGATCATCATTGTTAGTGAAGATGAGGTCTAGTGTATTCTCCAGTCTAGTAGGCTCTATTATTTGCTGGTTTAAATTGAATTTTGTGCAGAGATTTAAAAGCTCGCGTGAGTGTGAGTTTTCATCAGAGCTGCCTCCTGGTGTTATTACTGCAACAATATTATTTGCTATATTCCTCCATTTTAGGTGCCTTAAGTTGAAATCCCCCAGGAGCAAGATGTTGGGTGCAGGAACTGGAAGGTTTTCCAGACAGTGGTCAATTTTTAACAGCTGTTCCTGGAATTGCTGGGATGTTGCATCCGGAGGCTTGTAGACTACCACAATGACTAGGTTTTGGTTCTCGACCTTTACTGCTAAAACTTCCACTACATCATTTGAGGCATTTAGCAGTTCTGTGCAAACAAGTGACTCTGCAATGTACAGGCCAACCCCCCCCCTTTTGCCTGTTCACTCTGTCACATCTGTATAGGTTGTAACCTGGGATCCATATTTCGTTGTCCAAGTGATCCTTTATGTGGGTCTCAGTGAAAGCCGCGAACATTGCCTTTGCCTCTGCAAGCAGTCCACGGATGAAAGGTATTTTGTTGTTTGTTGCTGGCTTTAGACCCTGTATATTTGCAAAGAAGAATGTTATCAGACTGGTGGTATTAAACTGAAGATGCAGTTTGATTTTGTTTCTGCAGGCAGCATACAGTTCCTGCATAACTTTGACTACACGTTCAGCACACTGATTACTTCTTGGTATATTGAGTGCTGACGGCTCCTGCTTTCAGTGATTTTTCAATGAGTTCATTGCTTTTTTGTAAGGTTTCAATATTTCTGACAAATTCTTGTAGTCATTTTCATTGTATATCTGATCAGTAAACCAATAATCTGTCCAGGTGTATGAAATTAATCTACATATCTTCTCCAGAGTCTTCCGTCTTGTAGGTATAAGAATGAATGCAAGAATAACTAGAATGGCTGATGTTTGGAATTATGGAAAATTTTATAGGGGGTTACCTGTATGTACCTCAACATTATATACATACAAGTAATCTCATTGGGAGACAACAACCATATTGTTTACCGTAGTCACCCCGTGTAGACATGTGAAAAAACTTAACCACCCCTGGTCCCTGCAGGTGGTTCCTTCGACCTCACAATCTTATCCATATCTATCCAAGACCAGTATGAATTGGATAGCACCCACAAGTACGGCGCTACTAATTAATTGCGGACTGTATAGATTATATTAGTTTAACTGAATGAAGGGAAGGGGGGGGGGTAGATTGCACATGTATATATCCATCAAGGAAAAAACAATTGTATATAATACCACCACTTACCAGATATTCTCTGGTGGTCACTTGATGTAGCTGGATCACCCCCAACCTATCCAATTACAACATACCTAACTGGCCAGTATCAGTCTGCTATAACTAGAAGGGTTACTTAACTGTGGGTGATTGATGCTCCTTATTTCCTCCATTCACTATCTCATTTCGATGTCCTGCTACACCGACACGGTTCTTAATGCAGCAGGACGAGGTATCCGTTGGTTTGTCCCGGTTTAGAAGTCGGGACTCCATAAAAACTTCACTATCTTCGGGACAGGAACCATGAGGACTACACGTGTTCATTCGTAGTAAGGCGACTTATTTCACTTCACACATTCTCTTAACTTAGTGTTATTATCAGCGATTACATTACAGTTCACATGACGATTTAATGTCTCATAATTATTATGCACATTAGAGGTCACTTCATTAAGATCTGAGACTGATGAGTGATGATTAAATCATGGGTATTTTCCCCTGGACACACTCCATGGTGTCGCACCAGTCACCACCGGTCCTACCATTATTCACTAATTTTACCACTTTATTACGGTGGTCCCGTAAATCACGTTCCCTCACTCTTCACCAGGAACAGTTACAACACTTCCTATTATGAAGTGAGGCCTGTATTAATGCTTAGGCCGCCGTGAACGCCAATTTCCTGGTCCCATGCTTTCCCAGCCTCTTAACTCCATTCAAAACACTCCCGCTCGTGATGCCCCAACTCGACCTCTCCCCCGCCCATCAGCGCAGGCGCAGAGCTTCCCTGTTGGTTCTAGTCCATTTTCAAATATATTTCCTGACCCACATCAACACATTAAACACCTATTAGGAACTATAGCTTCGGAAATTAAATAATTTCCACAGGAATTTTCTGAAAGTTAATGAAAGGACAGTGTCCCCCCCTTTTTTTAAAGCATCTAAACACTAGTGTTAGATGGTACAAAAACTTCATATCATCTCTCCTATCTGATTTATTGATCTCTCCTGTTCCATTAACAAACTGTGCCTTTAGTTCCTCATAATTATTCACCATTTGGGATACAAATGGATACTCGATGTTTGGAGAACTCGTTTTAGCACCAAGATTTTCATCCATTACCAAACGAAGAATCCTGTCCAGAACGTGATGCTGACAACTGATAAACTGCCAATTAGTAATTTTCTGAGTTGCTACTTATGATTAGTAATGTAAATATATGGTGATTCATAGTTTTTATTAGGGATGACCTATTTTGAAAACTGAGTGGAATTAAGGACTTTTTCATTGTTTTTAATGAAAGTTCATCGATTTATGATACATGAGATGTTTTATTTGAAAAAAAGTAAGACAGGTATAACCCTAATAGTTATACACCTTAGTGCACATACAGTTACACTTTTCTATGTATATTCAGAGATGTACGCCTCTTCGTACATATAAATTGAGATATACACCTGATAATAAATTAGACACATGTGCAACTCTTGGGTATCTTTATTGAGGAAACGTTTCGCCACACAGTGGCTTCATCAGTCCATACCAAGGAGAATCTTGAAGAACAAGAGGAGAATGAGGTAATCAGTCCCTCAACCTTGAGTCAATGTGGTCAGTCCATCAATCTTGAATAGAATACGGCATATGGGCGGAGAAGGAGCTTATAAACCGTAGGCAGGAAAGGTGCAGGAAGTGCAAGCAAGGTAGGTGGTGTACAATTTGGTTCAATGTGGAAGTAGGTCGTGCCCAAGGGTTAGGCAAACGAAGAATTCCCAAGTATTAAGATCCCAAGAAGTTGCAGTGTCTGCAGTGTTTTGGGATCTTAATACTTGGGAATTCTTCGCTTGCCTAACCCTTGGGCACGACCTACTTCCACATTGAACAAATGTGACACCACCTACCTCTGCTGCACCTCTCCTGCACCTTTCCTGCCTACGGTTTATAAGCTCCTTCTCCGCCCATATGCCGTATTCTATTCAAGATTGATGGACTGACCACATTGACTCAAGGTTGAGGGAACTGATTACCTCATTCTCCTCTTGTTCTTCAAGATTCTCCTTGGTATGGACTGATGAAGCCACTGTGTGGCGAAACGTTTCCTTAATAAAGATACCCAAGAGTTACACATGTGTCTAATTTATCAACATGTCGGTTCTCTGAACCATTCATCTACAGATATACACCTCTTAATTAATGTACAGAGATGTACACCTCTCATTTTATACACATTGAGAGATACATACCTCTCATTGTGCACACGTGCATATACTCAGGGGTACACGCCTCTCGGTATAACTACACCCATATGCAACCATTGGTGTTTGTATACTGATACGTACCTGCTAGTATACATACAATGAAGTGCAAACATATCAGTAGCGTGTACCCTTGAAGTTAACTAAAGAGGAGAAAACTCACGTAGAGAAGAATGAAGGTGCATCCACCAGACCAGGCTGAGATAGACAGGCAGGCGAGACTCTGTACTCCCAGTAAGTAGAATCCTCCACCTATACCAACACATATATCCTCTCGTATCATCCATCATCACACCATTACCATTATAAACACCACTATCATAACATCATTATCATAAGAATCACATTATTAGAACCGCCAAGTATAATCATCACTACTTGAAGCATTATCATAACGTGTTATTATTATTATTTGCTGTTGTTATTGCTGGTACTTATGAGTGTACTCTGGTGATGGTACAACAACATATGAGACTCACCTCGGAAAAGGCCAGCCTTGCCCTTGGTTATGCCCATCAAGTTGTCTGCTTCAACGAAGAGTCCGATGGCCACCATGGCCCAGAGCCCGCATAAGCCTGCAGGGTCAAAAGAAAAAAAATAGTAAGGAAAGACTACACGAGAAATTTAAGTTAGCTTATTCTGAGTCCTCTCCTCGTGTGATAACCTGATGATCACGATATCAAAAGCACGTCATTTTAGTAATTGTTAAGAGGTTCCCAACTCAACACCCGACCATATCCAAAAATTAAAAAATAAAATGAATATAAAAACTTGTCACGGGCACAAAAACAAGTCACACACACAAACAACACACACACACCAACAACACACACACACACCACACACACACACACACACACACACACACACACACACACAACATATATTATATATTAATATATATATATATATATATATATATATAATATACTATATATTATTACACTTAACAATTCGCAAAAAGGCCAAATTATTTACGAACATTGTCTCTACATCCACAGCAGGACTCAAACCTGTCAACTCTGTATCAGAGCACTCTGATACAGAGTTTAGCAGGTTCGGTCCTGCTGTGGACGTAGAGAAAATGTTTAATATATTATATATATATTATATATATATTTTTAAAATATATATAAATATATTTTTATATACATATATAAAATATGTCGTCCCGAATAGGCAGAACTTGGATTTGGTTAAATAGAAATGCTCATCTTGCCATATAGGACAAGCGAAATTTGTGTATGCAATAATTTCGCCAAAATCATTCTGAACCTGGAGTTTACTGGAGAAGTTTCGGGGGTCAACGCCCCCCCCGGCCGGTCTGTGACCAGGCCCCCTTTGGTGGATCAGCGGCTGATCAACTGGCTTTGCTGCTGGCTGCACGCAAACCAAGTACGAGCACAAGCCCGGCTGATCAGGAACTGATTTAGGTGCTTGTCAGTGCGGGCTTGAAGAGCCAGGGGTTGTTGTAATCCCCTTATGTGTGTGGGGGCAGTTGAACAGTCTCGGGCCCCTAAACTTTTGTATGGTCTTTTAACGTGCTAGGACACCCATGTTTTATTGGGGGGATGGTGCTTGTCTGCCAAGTCTTTTGTTTTCGTAGGATTGATTTGTGGCAAAGTTCGGGTATGTCCCTCTAGGTTTTTCCCAGGTGTATATAATAATGTATCTCTCCTCCTGCGTTCAGGAATAAGGTTTAGAAACCTCAAGCGCTCCCAGAAATTTGAGGGTTGTTTTTATTCCGTTATGGCGCCGTGAAAGTTCTCTGTAATTTTCTAGGTCGGAAATTTCACCTGCCTTGAAAGGGTGTGTTGAGTGTAGAATTTTAAAGCCTAGATAGAACAAGTGACCTGAAGAGTGTCATCATGGGCTTGGCCTCCCTAGTTTTGAAGGTTCTCTTTATCCACCCTGTCATTTTTCTAGCAGGAGCGATTTGATACAATGTTATGGTCCTGAAGGTGAGATCCTCCGACATATCACTCCCAGGTCTTTGACGTTGGTGTTTCGCTCTATTTTGTGGCAGAATTTTTTTTCGTACTCTGATGAAGTTTTAATTTCCTATGTTTCCCATATCTGAGTAATTGAAATTTCTCATCGTTGAACTTCATATTGTTTTCTGCAGCCCACTGAAGATTTGGTTGATGTCCGCCTGGAGCCTTGCAGTGTCTGCAATGGAAGACACTGTCATGAGATTCGGGTGTCATCTGCAAGGAAGACACGGTGCTGTGGCTGACATCCTTGTCTATGTCGGATATGAGGATGAGGAACAAGATGGGAGCTAGTACAGTGCCTTGTGGAACAGAGCTTTTCCCCGTAGCTGCCTGGACTTTACTCTGTTGACGACTACTCTCTGTGTTCTGTTAGTGAGGAAATTATAGATCCCTCGACCCCATTTTCCCGTTATTCCTTTAGCGCGCATTTTGTGCGCTATTACGCCATGGTCACACTTGTCGAAGGCTTTTGCAAAGTCTGTATATATTACATCTGCATTCTTTTTGTCTTCTAGTGCATTTAGGACCTTGTCGTAGTGATCCCGTAGTTGAGACAGACAGAGCGACCGTTCTAAACCCATGTTGCCCCGGGTTGTGTAACTGATGGGTTTCTAGATGGGTGGTGATGTTGTTCTTAGGAACCCTTTCAAAAATTTTTTATGATATGGGATGTTAGTGCTATTGGTCTGTAGTTCTTTGCTGTTGCTTTACTGCCCCCTTTGTTGGGTGGGGCTATGTTGTTGTTTTTAGTAACTGGGGACGACCCCCGTGTCCATGCTCCCTCTCCATAGGATGGAAAAGGCTCGTGATAGGGGCTTTTTGCAGTTTTTTGATGAAACACAGAGTTCCATGAGTCTGGCCCTGGGGCAGAGTGCCCTGGGCATGTCATTTATCGCCTGTTCGAAGTCATTTGGCGTCAGGATAACATCGGATAGGCTTGTGTTAATCAATTTTGTGGCTCTCTCATAAAAAATTCATTTTGATCTTCGACTCTCAGTCTGGTTAGCGGCTTGCTAAAAACTGAGTCATATTGGGGACTTGAGTAGCTCACTCATTTTCCCTTTCTGTCATTTTGTGTAGGACCCCTCTTGTTTAAGTAGGGGCCCAATACTGGACGTTGTTCTCGATTTTGATTTGGCATAGGAGAAGAAATACTTTGGGTTTCTTTCAATTTCATTTATGGCTTTTAGTTCTTCCCGCGATTCCTGACTCCTAAAGGATTCTTTTAGCTTAAGTTCGATGCTTGCTATTTCTCTGACCAGTGTCTCCCTGCGCATTTCAGATATATTGACCTCTTTTAGCCGCTCTGTTATTCTTTTCCGTCGCCTGTAAAGGGAGCGCCTGTCTCTTTCTATTTTACATCTACTCCTAACGAAAAAAAAATATATTACATTGTGTTTGTTGAGTATTAAATTATTATAGACAAATCTAAAATATATTTAGTTGGGTTAGGCTAAAATAAATTGTTCTTGTTATAATAAGGTTAGGTAAGTTTTCTAAGATTTCTTTTGGAGCAAAATTTAAAATTTTTTACATTAACATTAATGAAAAAAAAATATATCTTTAAACGTATAAGAATTTTTTTTAGAAAGGTCTTAATTTTAAATTTAGTTCTTGCTAATTGACCAGTTTTACATATTCGGCACGACATATATATATATATATATATATATATAATATATATATATATGTATGTATATATATATATATATATTATATATATATATATATTAAAATATATATATATATATATATTTATATATATATATATATTTTAAAATATATATATTATATATATATATTATATATATATTTTATTATATATATATATATATATATATATATATATATATTAATGCCGTGCCCAATAGAAAAACTTGCGATTTTGACTTAAATTAGCAATGCTCCTCTTGCCGAATAAGGCAAGCGAAAATTTATGCATGCAATAGTTTCGCATGCATAAATTGTCCAGAGGGCTGAGGAAGGGTTGTTGAGGTGGTTCGGACTGTAGAGAGAATGGAGCGAAACAGAATGGACTTCAAGAGTGTATCAGTCTGTAGTGGAAGGAAGGCGGGGTAGGGGGCGGCCTAGGAAGGGTTGGAGGGAGGGGGTAAAGGAGGTTTTGTGTGCGAGGGGCTTGGACTTCCAGCAGGCATGCTTGAGCGTGTTTGATAGGAGTGAATGGAGACAAATGGTTTTTAATACTTGACGTGCTGTTGGAGTGTGAGCAAAGTAACATTTATGAAGGGATTCAGGGAAACCGGCAGGCCGGACTTGAGTCCTGGAGATGGGAAGTACAGTGCCTGCACTCTGAAGGAGGGGTGTTAATGTTGCAGTTTAAAAACTGTAGTGTAAAGCACCCTTCTGGCAAGACAGTGATGGAGTGAATGATGGTGAAAGTTTTTCTTTTTCGGGCCACCCTGCCTTGGTGGGAATCGGCCGGTGTGATAATAAAAAAAAAAATATAAAAATAGTTTCGCAAAAATCATTTTCAACCTAACGAAAAAAATATATTTAATTGTGCTGTTTATTATTAAATTAGTGTAAACTTATCTAAAATATATTTAGCTGGATTAGGCTAAATTAAATTGCGCTTGTTATAATAAGGTTAAGTTTTCTAAGGTTCTTTTGGTACAAAATTATTAAATTTTACATAAACATAAATGAAAAAAAAGATATCTTTAAACGTATAAGAGAAAATTTTAGAAAGTACTTAATTTTAAATGAGTTCTTGCTAAATGACCAATTTTACCTATTCGGCACCACATACACACACACGCGCGCGCGCGCGCACACACACACACATACATAAAGACGGAGTAGCAATAATGTTGAAGGATAAGTTATGGTAGGAAAAGAGGGAATATAATGCATCAATTCAAGGATTATGTGGAGTAAAATAAGGGTTGGATGTGAAAAGTTGGCTATAGTAAGTGTTTATGCACCTGGGGAAGAGAGAAGCGTATTATATTATTATAATCAAAAAGAAGCGCTAAGCCACAAGGACTATACAGCGGAGAGAAGCGTTTGAAGGGGAGAGAGAGAGAGAGAGAGAGAGAGAGAGAGAGAGATGAAAATAGAGAGAGAGAGAGAGAGAGAGAGAGAGAGAGAGAGAAGAGAGAGAGAGAGAGAGAGAGAGAGAGAGAGGAGAGAGAGAGAGAGAGAGAAAGAGAGAGAGAGAGAGAGAGATTTTGGGAAATGTTGAGTGAATGCATGGGGAGTTTTGAACCAAGAGAGTACTTGTGGTTGGTAATCTCAATAATAAAGTGAGTAAAAATGTTGTAGAGGGAGTAGTTGGTAAATTTGGGGTGCCAGGGGTAATGAAAATGGAGAGCCTTTAATTGAACTAAGTATAGAAAGAGGTTTGGTAATAAGTAATACATATTTTATGAAAAAGAGGATAAATAAATATACAGGGTATGATACAGCATGTAATGAAAGTAGTGTCTTAGATTATGCATTGGTGGATAAAAGGTTGATGGGTAGGCTCCAGGATGTAAACGTTTATAGAGGGGCAACTGATATATTGGATCATTATATAGTTGTAGCTATAGTTAGAGGTAGATGGGACAAAAGGAAAATGACAATAGTAAGAGAGAAGTGAAAGTGTATAAACTAAGGGAGGAGAAAGTTAGGGTGAGATATAAGCAACTATTGGCAGAAAAGTGGGCTAATGAAAGTATGAGTAGTGGGGGGGGGGGAGAAGTTGAAGAGGGTTGGGATAGTTTTAAAAATGCAGTATTAGAATGTCGGGCAGAAGTTTGTGGCTATAGGAGGGTGGGTGCAGGAGGAGAGAGGAGTGACTGGTGGAATGATGCCATAAAGGGTGTGATAAAAGAGAAAAAGTTAGCTATGAAAGGTTTTTACAAAGCACAAGTGATATAAGAAGGGCAGAGTACATGGAGAATAAAAGAAAGGTGAAGAGAGTGGTGAGAGAGTGCCGAAGGAGAGCAAATGATAGAGTGGGAGATGCATTGTCAAAATTTTGCTGAAAATAAGAAAGAAAATTGGAGTGAGATAAGCAAGAAAACCTAGAGAACGCATGACTTGTCAGTTAAAAACAGAATAGGGGAGTTAGTAGATGGGGAGATGGAAGTACTGGGTAGATGGTCGGAATATTTTGAGGAACTTTTAAATGTCAATGAAGAAAGGGAGGCACTAATTTCATGCACTGGCCAGGTGAAGTGAAGAAGAGCAGGACGTGAGTGTGGGGGAGGTGCGTGAACCATTACGTAGAATGAAAGGGGGTAAAGCAGCTGGAACTGACGGAATCATGCCAGAAATGTTAAAAGCAGGGGGGGATATAGTGTTGGAGTGGTTGATGTTTTTGTTTAATAAATGTATGAAAGAGGGGAAGGTACCTAGGGATTGGCAGAGAGCATGTATATGTAGTTCCTTTATATAAAGGGAAGGGGGACAAAAGAGATTGTAAAAATGAATGGGGAAAAAGTTTACTGAGTACATCAGGTAAAGTGTATGGTAGGGTTATTATTGAAAGAATTAAAGGGAAGGCAGAGAGCAGGATCGCGGATGAGCAAGGAGGTTTTAGAGTGGGTAGGGGATGTGTAGATCAAGTGTTTACATTGAAGCATATATGTGAACAGCATTTAGATAAAGGTAGGGAGGTTTTCATTGCATATATGGATTTAGAAAAGGCATATGATAAAGTGGATAGGAGAGGAATGTGGCAGATGTTGCAAGTGTATGGAATAGGTAGTAAGTTACTAAATGTTGTAAAGAATTTTTATGAGGATAGTGAGGCTCAGGTTAGGATGTGTAGGAAAGAGGGTGATTACTTCCTGGTAAAAGTAGGTCTTAGACAAAGATGTGCAATGTCACCAAGGTTGTTTAATATATTTATAGATGGGGTTTTAAAAGAAGTAAATGCTAAGGTGGTGGGGAGAGGGGGGGGTGATTAAATTATGGGGAAACAAATGCAAAATGGGAGTTATAACAGTTATATTTTGCTGATGATACTGTTCTTTTGAGAGATTCTAAAGAAAAGTTACAAAGGTTAGTGGACGAGTGTGAGTGTGTGTGTGTAAAGGTAGAAAGTTGAAAGTGAACATAGATAAGAGTAAAGTGATGAGGGTATCAAATGATTTAGATAAAGAAAAATTCGATATCACATTGCAGGGAGGGAGTATGGAAGAAGTGAATGTTTTCAGATATTTGGGAGTTGACGTGGGTTTATGAAGGATGAGGTTAACCATAGAAGTGATGAAGGAAAAAAGGTGAGGAGTGCATTGAGGTATATGTGGAGACAAAAAACGTTATCCATGGAAGCAAAGAAGGGATTGTACGAAAGTAGAGTGATACCAACACTCTTATATGGGCGTGAAGCTTGGGTTGTAAATGCTGCAGCGAGGAGGCAGTTGGAGGCAGTGGAGATGTCCTGTCTAAGGGCAATGTGTAGTGTAAATATTATGCAGAAAATTCGGAGTGAAGAAATTAGGAGGAGGTATGGAGTTACTAAAAGTATTAGTCAGAGGGTTGAAGAGGGGTTGTTGAGGTGGTTTGGTCATTTAGAAAGAATGAAACAAAGTAGAATGACTTGGAGAGAGTATAAATCTGTAGGGGAAGGAAGGCGGGGTAGGGGTCGTCCTCGAAAAGGTTGGAGGGAGAGGGTAAAGGAGGTTTTGTAGGCGAGGAGCTTGGATTTCCAGCAAGCGTGCGTGAGCGTGTTAGATAGGAGTGAAAGGAAACGAATGGTATTTGGGACCTGACAAGCTGTCAGAGTGTGTGCAGGGTAATATTTTGTGAAGGGATTCAGGAAAATTGGTTAACCGGACTTGAGTCCTGGAAATGAGAAGTACAATGCCTGCACTGTAAAGGAGGTGTTTGGGATATTGGCAGTTTGGAGGGACGTCTAAACTAGGTTACCCTGCCTGAGTGGGAAATGGCCGATGTGTTATGTGTGTGTGTGTGTGTATATAAATATATATATATATATATATATATATATATTATATATATATATATATATATATATATATATATAATAATAAACACTGATCTCTGGCTGAAGGACACTCGAACCTACGAACCTTGGAACAAGGTACGCAGTGCTTTACCAATCTACCCACACTGGACCAATACCTTGGAGTCCAGCTTGCGCTAGACTTTGATCCAAGGCAGCCAGCTTTCAGGGAGAAGGCTTACAGCTTTTCATCTCATCCCCTGCATGCATCAGCCTTACTAGAGATATTAACAATGCAAGGAATTCGCAAGAGCAGGCGAAATATACACAAACACTGGTCTCTGGCTGAGGGATGGATCTAGCATTGTGGTGGCAGGTGGCAGTATTTTTTTTTATATGTTGCACGTTGTTTGTACCAGGATATGTATCGAGTGGTTCACACTAAGGTTATCATTTAGACTAGAAGGGGGGGAGGGTAATGTGTGTTATTGTCGCCCTGCTATTATGTAATCAGTGGCGAGATTAGGTAGTGTGTTAGGCTGCAATAAATCTTGCCATGTTGGTGAGATTTCAATTATTAAGCTTGGATCGTCTCTGGTTAGAGAGACCATGCAACTTTATCAATTTCATATGTAAACACCCATTCAGTTAGGATGGAGGTAATTGTAAGCGGTATATAAGTTATAAGTCTGTCACGTGTTATTTCTATATTATAAGTAAAGGTACCATCTTAAAATACCTTACAGAATATTACTTAAATTACGTTATATTAAAAGCAAATTTTAATGCAGTCTTTCCATCATCCCATCATATAAATCCTTATTACGATTTTCCATGAGTATATTCGATACTTAGGATCTCCTATACTCAGGCCAAATATATTACAAATTCTAAGGTCTATCGTAATAGATAGACAGACTGATACCGTGGACAGAGGTGGCTCCGACGGGGTCATCAATATGCAGCTTATCGAAGAATGGCATGGCCAGCACAGCGGTAAGACCCCCAACTATACCGACGAAGAGAGCTTCCCAGGTGGTGAAGAGTGCACAACCAGCTGTGGGGAGAGACTCATATGAGACATACATGGACATTCTCACTGCTCAGGAGCTGTATAATCCTACGGGTTTAGCGCTCCCCCATGATTACAATTAGAATCACTGCTGAGGACCTACCGTGGTAGGGATTCACCGTGCTAAAGACCTTCTCTAGCATACAAGATCCTATTGTACCATCTCAAAACCCTTTGCACCACTCCAGGACCCACTGTACAGTTCCAGGACCGACCTGTGATGGAGACTAGTGCTCCTAGGATGCTGTTGACTACATCAGCGACCTCGAGTCTGTGGTTCTTGTACCAGGTGAGGCTCATTCCGGCCAGACCACCGCCGATACTTGACTGGATAGTGACTACGGCCGTGCGTGCAGCGTACTTCCACTTGTCCCCAGTTATGCCAAAGGTGCTGAACTCGACGTACCAAAACAGCAGGTTACGGAGAAGAGGGATCGTAGAGTTATGAAAGACTGACTGATATCTTGAATATTCTAATCTTAAGAAATAATAGAAATATCTATATTTTTTTTTTAAATTGTTTAACTACACAGTTCTACGGGGATGAGTTAACAATTTGTTTGTCAGTTATATTGAAATATGATATTTATTATGCAAGAATAGTTTAGTTGTGAAGGATGGTTGGTTAATGGGGGATTAAAGTCTATCGACTACAGTCACTAAGATCATATTTTCAGTTTTAATCTGTACTCGACTGACAGTCACAAGAATCAGTGCTTTTTGTCTTCATGCTCACAAAGTTGTCTTACCTGCCACAGTTGAAGCCCAGCCATCCCCACCACAGCATGAACATCCCTAAGAGGGCGTTGGTGGCGGAGCCCATGGGTAACGGATCTTCCCCATCGTCGTAGCGACCAATTCTGGGACCTACCATCACTGCTGCCACCAGTGCTGTTAACCAGAGGGGACATTTCTCATTTCCATGGCTAGGGTTGTGTATGACTAGACATGTTGACAAATTAGACACATGCAACACTTGGACTGATGAAGTCAATGTACGGTGAAACATTTCCACAATAAAGATACCCGAGTGTTGCACATGTGTCTAATTTGTCAACTTGTCGCTTATCTGAACTATTTATCTAAAAGACTAGACATAGTTACGAAATGTTCTCTAACTAAGATGGTTTGGAAACTAAAATTCCCTACCAAAAAATAAAAAACCCAATTTTTAACAATTTTAAAAATTTTCAAATTTTTTTTTTTTCAAAAAAAATTTTTTAACTTGTTTCAAAAGGGAGAATTTTTATCTTTAAAAAAAAACCCCAAAAAGGGGAACCTTTTTAATGTTTTCTTTAGTTTGAGGAAAAGGGAAAAACCTAAAATGAAGGAACAAAAAAATCGGGAAAAATAGTTTTTTTAAAAATTTTGGGAAAATTGCCCTAAAAATTTTCTTTTCCCCGCCCAAAGTTTTTTACCCCTAAAGGGGGAAGGATCCAATGGGGGGAAAATATGGAATAGGTTCCTTTCCTTTGGATTTCCCCTAAAATTCCGGAAAAACGGGGCCCCCGTTTGCCCCCCCCCCAAAATTGGAAATAGAGTTTTACGGTTTACTGGGCTAAAAAGTTCGGGACAAGCCCACCGCCCCCCGGTCTTTGTGCCCCTCCTGGTGGAAAATTCCCCCTTATGTGGGACGAATAAGTAACAAGGGTGGAGGAAGGTCCTCACAGTGGTGAGAGGAAGGGTTTTCACTGTGGGGGGAGGAATGTTTTCCTATGGTGGGAGGAGTGCTACTAGTGGTGAGAGGAGGTTTTACTGTAGTGGGAGGAGAGTGTTCACTAGGGAGGAGTGCTCACAGGGGTGAAGGAAGTGTTCACTGTGGGGGAGGGGTGTTATATGGTGGAGCCCTGGGGGGGTTTTCACTATGGTGGGGAGAGTTTTTACATGGTGGGAGGAGGTGAAAATGGGGTGGAGGAGTGTTCACTATTGGGGGGAGGGAGGGGGAGGGGGGGGGGGGGGTGATAAATAGTGGTGGAGAAGTGTTACTATGTTGGGAGGAGATGTTCAAAAAGGGTGGGGAGATGTTCATAGTGGGGGGAGAGGGTTCAAGGGGTGGATGCTCACTAGTGGTGAGGGGGAAAGTGTTCATAGTGGTGGGGGAGAGTGTTACTATAGTGGGAGGAGGTGTTCACTAGTGGTAGAGTGCTCACTGTGGTGAGGGGGAAAGTGTTATATGGTGGGGGAGAGTGTTCACTAGTGGTAGGAGTGCTCTAGTGGTGAGGGAAAGTGTTACTAGTGGTTAGAGGAGTGCTCTAGGGGTGAAGGAGGGTTCACTGGGGGTGAGGGAGTTTCATAGTATGGGAGGAGAGTTTTCCCTAGGGGTGGGAGGGGTGTCCTTGGTGAGAGGATGTTTTCACTAGTGGTGAGAGGAGAGTGTTCATAGTGGTGAAGGAAGTGTTCATAGAGGGGGGAGAGTGTTCACTATGGTGAGGGAGAGCGTTCACTAGGGGGAAAAAGAGTGCTAAACCGGGGTTAAAAGGGAGTGTTTACTAGTGGTGAGAGGAGAGTGTTTTAGTGTGGGGGGAAAAGGTGTTCACTATGGTGGAGGAGTGTTCACGGGGTTGGGGAGATGATTTTAGTGGTGGGAGGAGTGATCATAGTGGTGAGAGGAGAGTGTTCACTGGGGGGGTGAGGGGAAAAAGGTTCACTAGTGGTGAGGGGAGAGCGTTCACTAGGGGTGGGACGATCTCACTGGGGTGAGAAAAAGTGTTCATATGGTGAAGGAGGTGTTCACTGTATGGGGGGGGAGTGTTCACTAGTGGGGGGAGGAGTGTTCATAGTGGTGGGAGGGGAGTGATCTCTAGTGGGGGGGGATGTTCATTAGTGGTGGGAGGAGATGGTTCATAGTGGTGAGTGCCCCTATGGTGGGGAGGAGAGTGTTCCTAGTGGTGAGTGTTCACTAGGGGGGGAAGAAGTGTTCACTATGGTGAGTGTTCAATAGGGGGTTGGGGGGTATTCCCCGGGTTAAAAGGGAGATTTGTTCACTGTGGTGGGAGAGAGTGTTACAAGCGTGGTTTTCACAGTGGGGGGAGGGAGTGTTACTAGTGGGAGTTTCACTAGCGGTGGGAGGGAGTGTTCACTGTGGTGAGGTTCTCAGTGGGAGGAGAGTGTTTTACCGTGAGAGGAGTTTTCACTAGTGGTGAGTGTTAATGGGGTTTAGTTTTCAGTAGTGGGGGGAGAATTTTCACTAAGGGTGAGAGGGTGTTCACTAGTTGGGAGGAGAGTGTTTCACTAGGGGTGGGGGAAAAGGTGTTCACAGTGGTGGGGGGAGTGTTCATAGGGGTGGGGGAGAGTGTTCACTAGGGGAGGTTCATTATGGTCAGAGGTAGTGTTCATAGTGATGAGAGGAGAGTGCTCACTAATGGTGAGTGTTGACTTTGGTCAAGGATAGTGTTCACTAAGGGGAAGTTTCACTAGTGGTCAAGGATAAGTTCACTAGGGGTGGGGAAGAGAGTTCATAGTAAGAGAGTTTCATAAGGTGAAGGAGAGTGTTTCACTAGTGGGGTGTTCACTAGTGGGGGGGAGGGAGTATTCACTAGTGATGGGGGGGAGTTTTTCATGTGGGGGGGGAAGTTTAAAAGTTGGGGGGGGAGGAGAGTTTTCATAGTGGTGGGAGAGAGTGTTTCATAGTGGTGGGGGAAGTTTTAAAAATAATGGGGTAGGAGAGTGTTCACTATGGTGAGCGTTTTTTCACTAGTGGGGGAAAAGTGTTCACTGTGGTAGGAGTGTCACATGGTGGGTGGGGAGTGTTCACATGATGAGAGGATTTACTAGTGATGAGTGGGAGTGTTTCACCCGTGTAGGAGAGTGTTCATAGTGGTAGGGGGAAGTTACTAGGGTGGGAGGATGTTTCCTAGGGGTAAAGGAGTTTTCCCCTAGTTGGTAGGTGGATGTGTTCACTGTGGGGGGAGGGGTGTTTCATAGTGGTGAAGGGAGAGTGTTCACTGGGGGTACGTGGAGAGGTTCAAATGGGGGGAGAATTTTGTTACAGTGATGAGGGGAGTGTTTACTAGTGATAGTGGAGAGTGTTCCCCAATGATAGGAGAGTGTTACTATGGTAGGGGAATTTTAACAAAGTGGTGGGAGGAGTGTTCACTATGGAAAAGGGGAGTTTTTCATTTTGGGGGGGTTGGTTATGTTCACTGGTGGGGGGAGTGTTCACAAAGTGGAGGAGAGTGTTCACTGTTGGGGAGAGTGTTCACTATGGGGGGAAGGTGTTATAGTGATGAGGGGAGTTTTCCAGTGGATGGAGAGTGTTACCAATAAAATAGAGAGTGTTTAAGTGTTAGGTGGAATGTTCACTAGGGGTTTGGGAGGAGTGTTCACTAGGGGAGGAGGTTCATATGGAGAGTGTGTTCACAATTTTTAGAGGAATGTTCACTAGTGTGAGGAAGAGTGTACAAATGGTGGATGAGAGGGTTTTAAATAGGGGGGAGGAAGTTTTAATATGGGGGAGGAAAGTGTTAATAGTGGGGGGGGAAATGTCATAGGGGTGGAGGAAGGTTCATTAGTGGGGGAAAGGAGAGTGTTCACATGGTGGGAGGAGGTGTCACTGTGGTGGAGGGAGGTTCACTAGTGGTGAGAGGGAGGTTCTTAGTGGGGGGAGGGAAGTGTCATATGGTGGGGGAGGTGTCATAGTGGTGAGAGGGTGTTCATTTTTGGTGGGAGAGTGTTACGGGGTTTTAGGGGAAAAGGGTTCATAGTGGGGGAGGGAGATGTTCACTATGGTGAGAGAGTGTTTCAATTGTTGGGGGGAGTTTTCACAAAGGTTTGAGGAGTGTTATAGTGTGGAGGAGAGTGTCACTTGGGGGGAAGGGAGTGTTTAGGGGTTTGATTGAAGTTTTTTATGGGGTTTGGGGGGGGAAAGGGGGTTCATTATTTTGAGGAGATGTTCATAGTGGGGGGGGGGAGGGTTCATTTAGGGTTTTGGGAGGGTGTTCCTTGTGGTGGGAGATGTGACATAGGGGTTTTTGGGGGGAAGGTTCACAAAGGGTGAGAGGAGGGATAGTGGGAGGAGATTTCACTAGTGGTGAAAAGGGAGTGACATAGTTTTTGGGGGAGAGGAAGAGGTGGGGGAGGTACCCTTGGTGAGGGGGGAAGTGATCACATGGTGGGAGGGGTTCCTAGTGGTGGAGGAGGAGGAAAACATTTTGGGAGGGAGGTGCCCTAGTGGTGGGGGGAAAGTATCAAAATAGTAAAGTTGGGAAGAGGGGACACTAGTTGGGAGGAGGCACTAGGTAAGTTTTCACTAGTGGGAGGGGGAGTGTCAAAGTGGGGGGAGAGGTTCACTAGTGGAGAGGAGAGTTAAATAGGGGGATAGGGGGAGAGTGTTCACTAGTGAGAGAGGAGATGTTCATAGGGGTGGGTGGGTGTTACAGGGGTGGGGAGGGTGTTCACTAGTGGTGAAAGGGTGTTACTAGTGGTAGGTGGATAGTTTTCCCACTTGGTGTGAGGGAGTTTATAGGGGGTGGGGGAAAAGTGTTCCCCTTGTGGTACGGGGAAAGAGTGTTCAAGTGGTGGGAGAAGTGTTCACTATGGTGGAGGAAAGTTTTCACTAGTGGTGAGAGGAGAGTGTTACTAGGGTAAGGGGGGTGTTTCACTATGGTGGAGGAGTGTTCACAAGGTTAGAGGAGTGCTCACTAATGGAGAGGAGCTTTTCATAGTCTGAGGGAGAGTGATAAAAAATGGTGAGAGGGATGTTCACTTGGTGAGGGGATGTTCACTATTTGGGGAGGATTTTCATAATGGTTAATGGTGTTAAATAGTGCGAGAGGAGAGTGATCATAAGGGTAAAGGGAGAGTGCACTAGTAGTGAGATGAAGTTTCACAAAGGGTGGGGGGGGAAAGTGTTTTAGTGGTGGGAGGGGTGTTCCTTGGTGGGAGGAGGTTTTCATTTGGTGGGAGGAGAGTGTTCACTTTGGTGGGAGGGGAGTGATCACTAGTGGTGGGAGGAGATGTTCATGTGGTGAAAAGGAGAGTGTTCACTAGGGGTGCTAGGAGAGTGGTCACTAGTGGTAAAGGGGGGAGAGTGATCACTATGGGAGGGGGGAGTGATCAATGGTGAGGGAGAGTGATCATAGGGGGGGGGAAAGTG